TGTATACTAACACACATGCACCTCCACACGTGCTCACACTCATACCACACGCTCACATACACTCCGTCACACATACACACACATACAGCACACACACGTGTACACACGCATAATTGGTTCTCCTTGCTTTCTTTCTTTCCTCTTCCGTCTCAGCGCATCCTGGCCTCGAGCCTGCCTAACAGCTCCGACAGGACTGCCCTGCACTTTGGCATTTCTCCTCTGCTCGTTCCTACTCTTGTTTCCATCTTATGGATACGTTTTTGTTTTTTTAATCTTATTTGTTTGGGGAGCTCCCTGTGCAGCCACATTGCTTCCTTTGGACACCTCCCCTTCTCCTCTTCATTCACATCATCCCTTTCCCTGCCGCTGGTTCATCAGGTCTCAGTCGTCGTTCTTGGGGATCCTTTGAAGTCTGCTTTCCCAGGGTTGGTGGGTGTCGGACCTCGGCAGACTGTCCTTTAGTTCATCACTAACTTTCAATCTCCTTTCCTGTTGGTAAGAGTCGAGTTCGGAACAGAACTTTCTCTTATTGATTCCTCCTCTTCTCGAAGGGCGGAACTATCATTAAGGCAAATAAAGGATCAGCTGCTCGGTTTTGGCAGACATAGATGCAGCAGATGGCCAGAGGACTGAGGGCCTCCTCACTAGCCTCTCCCACCCTCGAGGGGGCTTGGGCTGTATTTCCCAAGCTTCTCATGGTTTCATCTTTCTGACCAAGTGGTCTGTAGTCTACTCCAATGACAACATCACATCTGGGGCTACTTGCTTTAGGTTGAACTGAATCTGGCTGATATGGCTGTCCTGGGTGATCTGGGATCTGGCTACTCTGTTTCCAAGGAATGTGGCCCACCTACATTGCCAGCCTGGTGAGTGAGGGGCAAGTGGGAGAGAGGCCAGCTGTGGCTGGGTGACAACATCACCATTCTCCCCTGTCCTACAGGAGCCTCGGACTAGAATTGTATCTGTTTACTGCATCCCCCTATCTGTAGTCTAGGGATATCACTAGGGCAGGGATGGGCTGGTTAATGCTTTAACAACGGGCTCTCTGCCCCCAAAATGTACATGGGACACTTTCCAGTTTAATCTGCATAATTAATATTCTCACTATCACTTTTCAAAGTCTACACAATCAAAATTATAAGTCAAGCTTTGTAGCATGTGCTGATTTTTTAAATCATAAACGCGCACACTAAGAATTTAACAATTAGGTTCCAGGCTCAGAACCCCTGAAGGGGTTCAGAATAAAAGCCACTTTGTCTGGTTGCTATCAAGGCAGCGTGGCTCTCTCGCATTATATGCTGGTTACACAGAAGTCCATCCCCAAAGCCGCCACACCTCTTTATCGGGGATACGGAGGGAGAGGTAAAAAGACTAGTAAAAGTGATCCAGAACGAAGCCGATGAAGGAATCCACAAGAGCAGATGAGCTCTTGGGAGGCAAGATGAACCGTGAGCTCCCACGGAGAGAGTGCGCCCTGTTCTAGCAGGGTCTACAGCTGCTGGAATGCAGGGCCCGTGTTGGGAGCCAGCTTCCGCGCGGGGC